AACATTTTCTCCCCTGTCTAAGCTTGCTTTCCATTTTTCAAGCATTCGAACTAATGCGTGCTGCACATTGTACCCTTTACGAAAACCACATAAAAGTGACGATAAATAAGATTGCATATAATCAATAATCTGTTTATCCATAAGTCTCTCAAAAACCTTTGAAACAGTTGGTAATACACTAACCGGTCTGTAATTTTTCTTATTGGTTTTCTCCTCCGATTTGTGGAGGGAAGTGACATCTGCTAGTTTTAATAGGTCAGGAAAGACACCATTTTGAATGCAGTTATTGAAAATAAGCTGCAACAATTCGGAACAAATGTCAGAGCTATTTTTCAGCACTCTCGCGGGTATATTTCCAAAGGTTGTTGCCTTTTTAGGATTAAGCCCCTCAATTTCAGAGTGCATCTGTTCCACAGTAACCTCTTGGAATTTAAAGTAGCCGTTAATTCGAGCAAAACTGCGAATTTTCCTAATGCTAGGGTGTTTTGAATATTTCATTATAGCCTTTTCTATAGGATCTGATAAACCATTTGTACTTATGGTAACCTCCCTGTTCCCTGTCAGACCTAATGAGTCAGTAATCGATATAAAATAATCGTTCATGGCTTCTGCAACTTCCTTATCATTGGAAATCATCCTATTATTATCGATAAGGGTAATATTTGAGTTCGATCGACTTTTATCGGAAAGGACAGGTTTTACAGTTTTCCAAAATTTCTTGTTGTCTGTAATATCAGAAGCATTCAAATTTTTATAGAAATTTTGTTTTCCGTTCTAAATAATTTGACACACAAATTACGCTGTCGACGAAACGCTTCCCAATGTTCAGCTGTGCGGCTTTTATTATATCCATTTTTCAACCTAGAGCGCAGCATAGTAGCTTTACGAAGAACTCGATTCATGAAGGGACCATCATTGGCCCTTGCGTATTTTTTCTTCATCGGTGCATGCTTATCAAGTACCTTCTCAAAGCAATTTTGAAAAGAACTGTAGTCTAAATCAGTTGTTTTAATGCTAGCCAACTCTTCCTTAAGTTCTCGTTTGAAAGTCTGCTCCGAAAATTTCTTATATTCTCTATAGTTAATAACAGTAGGTCCAGCCTTTTGGTACGTCGTTTTCAAAACTGTGACTATCATTTTGTGAAAGTCAGAGATACTCCGTTGGAGATTAAGAACTACGTTGCTCTCCCAAACCAGGAGGTTTGAACTTAAGGGGGGAGGCATGTTACGGTACGAAGGTCGAACTTGTATCACGTGCTGGTCCACGTGGGTAGCAGCGTGAACATCGTTTTATTAACTTTTGTGCTTTTTAACTATTGTTCTATTCTAGTATCTAATTGGCTGTTATCATGTTCTGTTTTGTTATTGGCTAGCTGTATTTTAGAAAGGGTATAAAGGAGCTTGCCTGTTTTAGAGTAGGAGGCTTTTTACTGTGGGCGTTCCCGCCTTGCCAAAAGAATCGTGGCCGCCGTTTCCCGATGAAAGTCGAAGCGTGTGTCGCTTGAAAGACGTCGCTGTTGTCCTGTTGCCATTCGAAGTGTTTAATTCAGAGACGCCACAAGTCGCCAACACTAAAGCAAGCAAGCAAGCTAAAGGTCGTGGGTGCTTTGTTATCATTATTATTCTTAGCTTTTCTACATTCTTTATATTAAACATTTGAGACTGATTGCCTATGAAGTTATTCGTTGACTCACAAACTGTTAGACTTAGAGGCGTAGTCTAATACTACACCACTAGAAATAGCCAATAAAAATTCAGGGAAATTGATGGATAGGGAACTGGCATAGGCTTTTGGGATTTGCGGCAACTCTCGTTGGTATTACGGGGTGCATGAACAGAAACGTTGCTTTAATTTTTATGGCAAAAGAAATGCCTGGTCAAAGAAATGATAGAGAAGGGGCATTGGGGATGTTTTCGAGTTTTACTGGGACGACAATAGCGCTGACTCGTTCACTGATTCAGAGCTCTTTTCCGGAAGTGTAGCAAAGCTACGGCCTAAGATACCTATCTATCAGTTAAGTAGCCTGCGCGCAGTCTTTTTTTTGCTGGACATACGGGAAATGTAAAGACTGCGAATCAGCAAACGATTATTCGTATTTGCCTAAATTTACCTATTGTCCTATGAACCAATCAAAAGCTGGTTCGGAATTCTCCGAACCGTAAAATCATTGGTTCGGACAACATTGCATTGTTACTCAGTCTACACTGCCTCGCAAGATGGCGACCGGCAGCAGCGAAGGATAGTTGGAGTGGAACGAAGACAAATTTAGAGAGTCTCTTCTGACGGTTTCTTGTTTTTTCCAAGTTACGGAATTGTACGATGATCAAGTTACCATCCTTCGCATTTGGGAAATCGCTAATTTTTCAGTCCATGCCAATCATTGCAGATCATGTTTTTGAAAGACCGTTCGGTACCAGCATTTTGGTAATAATATCTCCTCTAGTCGCATTAATGATCGATCAAGTGAATTTCCTTAAGACAAAAGTCGACCTAACATGTTTATGCTTCCCCGGAGTCGATGCTTTCCTTGGAAAGATGACGAAAAATACTGTCACGCGATGTTTACAAGGACGCATGCATTGGAATAATTGTCGATGAAGCACACTGCATAAGTCAATAGTAATTAGTAACAACTATGTTTTTTGGAAAAAACCTTTTTCCACTGATCAGTGGGCAATTTCCGGTAAATTAGCATTTTGCTGAGTCGGCAATACGAATAATCGTTTGCTGATTCGCAGTCTTTACATTCCTCGTTCAGCAACAGCAACAAAAGACTGCGCGCAGGCTATCAGGTAAGTGGTAACATTCAATCTTTGTGGAAAATTGAAAGACATCAGAAGATATTATATGAATCTGGTTGAGGAATAGGGTGACATGCCAGGTTGCGTTTTATTAGCTGATTTGAGTTTCGCAAACGTGAATCAATGTTGTTTGCTTTGAGGCAATTTTAATACTAAGACAAAGCGTTAATTGAAGTGTTGAGATATTCGCTTTGTTTTTTACGCGAGTTATGGCATCGCAGCCCCTTTTGTGATTTTTCTAAAGGAAGAATAGTTCAAAGAGGCGTTTAAATGCCTGTCAAAGTTCTTGGAACATAAACAAAATTTTTAACATAATATAAAAAAAGGAAAGAAATGTAAAATTCATTTTTTAAGAACACAATTCCAAGCTGCAAAAGATAGCTTTCAACGAGTGTGACGAATTTCGTAAAACATTTTCTAAATTTTCATGAAATGCATTGCCTTATTTTGTACAATACTTTCCTTGCTTCCATAGCCATTCCTGTTTACCGTATTCTATCATATTTTTGGTCCCATTAGAGAGTGGGGCTTATTGAGAAAAAGATAAAAATCCACCAATAAAAAATTGAGCTTTGGAATTTAAACAATGATTGTTTTTAGACAAATCAATAACACCTGTTATGGGCATAATAATTACAAGATTTCAATTTCACCCGAGTCGAAATCCTAGTAGATTTGCATAAATACTGGTGCGGCATCTTGAATATTTAAATTGTCAATACCTTCAAATGTATTTTTGTGTAATTCTGTCTGTAGTTGCAGAAGATTTTCCAAATTGAAACAGCATAGGTTTTATTCAATATATTTAAACTGATTACTATTGTAAAGATTAGCTGGTCTCTATATGTTTACAAAATATTTAGGGGGCGCTCATTGGAGGGTGGGTGCTGATTAGAGAAATTTTGCACAAAAGGGGGGCGTGCATTAGAGAAGGACGCTTATTGGAAAAAATACGCTACTTAACATCGCTTCCGAAAATGGACGTGGTCAATTTGTTGGGTGTGGTCCCTTGAACTGAGCACCGGTCAAGAAATTTCCTGGATCCGCCCCTGAGACCTTCTCTGGATAAGAATAATCCAGAAATTTAGTTTCAAATTTTTAAGGAATGCAGTTCTGATTGAAATATTATGAAACAAATTTACAGCATAATACCAAAGATACTGGAATAGTGACTGGATAGGAAACTGCGCAGACAACAATAGGCGATTACGTTTATCTTCCAATCGCGTGTTTTGGAAAAGTTGTAGGGTATGTCATTTCCGGTTTTAGTCTCACGACCAGGACATTCACCGAAAAAAGCAACATCCAAGAATGGATTTCACCTATTTTAATGGCCAAATCGACGAAGAATTACTTGAACTTGTTGTCGAGGTAATGTAGTCCGTTTCTTTGTGTACTTTAAAGGCGCTGCAGCCATTATCTCTGTCTCCGCGAATAAGAATTTAAGTCATGGCGATGTAGGCCCTTCTATCAAACTTCAATATTTCATTTTCTAACGAGTAATTGCAAGAATGCCGATTGAACATAATGTATGTTCGATGAACCAGGGATAATGCTAGTGAAAATGTTGATTTACATTATAATTAGGCCTAGGAAGATACTTGTTTTAAATTAATGATGTTGGCTTTGGCTTGATTTTTCATCGACACGGCAGCAGCACCAGTCAACATATAAACAAATCACGAAACAATAAAATGGAAAGTTTCTCGTCTAATCATGTTTCCCGTTTTTGTTATACTTTTGAGGGTACAGAGCTGTACACCCCTGTAGCAGGTGTACGTCTGGTTAAATTATTATTGATGTTTTCCTTTTAGGAAACCACTATTAAATTTTGTGATGACAGTCAAATTTCGTTATTCACCAACAAACGAGGAGCAATGCAAAGAAAAGGAAAGTTAAAGAGCCATATCGTAAGAAAAAGGGGGTGACTTTAAAGGAGAAAGAACATTATGCCCCTCAGATTTGTATGAATTCAATCATTAAGGGTGCTTTAGAATCGATGGCCAACAAGACGGTTTTGATGGAAATATATGGAAAGTTCTTCAGAGGCTACTGGAACTTGCAGGACCTGCTGATGCAATAGGCTTCCCAAGAGGTCTTTTTAAGAACAAATTGGAAAGCAAAACCAATTATCTGGATTCTATGTGGGAAAATTTCCAGAAAGTATGGAGGATGAAAATGTTAGAACAAATGTGCAACCCCACTTGAAATGCTCAGCTATCAGGCAAAAGTTAATATTTCTTAAAATACTTCAACAATTGAATATGGATGAAATATGAACTAAACAGCTTGAAATATAGCTAATATTACAAAAATAATTCTAATAGAGAAATATTCATTTTCTGGTCTTTTTAACAATATACAAAACTCGTTATGCCAAAATTGCTGGTATTCTAGTTTTTATTACTAGCCCCCTCTATTACTGAAGCATTGAAACACTTTCCTCGCTTTCCAAATAAGAGGAAAGCTACATCTCTTTCTTTTCTTCAGAGGATTTCTCAGAGAGAACAAAATTTGTATCATTCGAAAAGGGGTCCACAGAAACTTTGTTCCGAATATTACCAGTTTTGTCAGCAAGACCTAAGGGTACAGTCTCATCAGAGCTATGTAAAATGACCCAGGGCTGTTTTATTTTGCCAATGCTCTTTTTGAAATCTGTGAAACCTCTTCATTTGTAAAGCACTGGTAAGGGCACATCTTGAAAAAGTCTTTCAAGCTCATGCCTTTGTTTCCCTTGGTTATTTTCATGACTTCTTTTATGTAAGAACTGTGTAGGCAAACTTCCAACAAGGAGGTCTTTTCTTCCAGTCTTTCCTACAAACAACATTATGAAATAATTTATTGTCAATATGAATACAAGATAAAGAAAATTTGAGTTGCCCCCCAACTTTGCTTCTAATTTTGTTAGATATTTTTGTCTCAATGACAGTTGATGATTTTGACACTTTTCTCAGGGGGACTTTCGTCCCATCAGACTATTGCCTGCTTTGTTTATTCAACGGTGACACTGTTGATATTCTCAGTCGACCTATCACCAGCAACTGATTGATAGGAGTTGTGGGGGTCGTGACAGCTCCCCCCAATAAATAAGTCAAAAATCGATTGAATTCCTAAGTAATATTTATATAACCTATTTCGTAGCCCCCCTACCCCCGAAAGGATCTGCATCCAATCTTAATAATAAAACTCTTATAAAATAATACGCAAAAATAATAATCAATGAAAGAAGTAATTAAAGTTACAGTGACTTACCGATCCTAAAGCAATGTTGATCAAAATGCCTTGCGCAGATGTAGGCCCTCTCTGCGTTGAAACTCCTATCGCATCTTTTTACTTTACACAAAAGCTGCGTTCTCCACTCCTTTTTTCTTTCATTTTTCGTTGGAAAGGTAACAAGGGACAAATTAGCTTATCTTGGTAAGTCTGCAATCGTTAACTACCGTGCCGAATAGCTGCGAAGCTCGTCATTATCAGTCAAAACCAAACAAACCGGAAATGATCATTCCCTACAAGTTTGAATAAGCAGTGATGCGTAACATGTTCTATTGTCCACTTCGCAGTTTCCTATCCAGTCACTATTCGAGTATCTTTGATAATACCTGGGATCTAGAAAATGCTAGGTTTTTGACAGAAGCATCAAACAAACAGTATATGTGGATTTGTTTCTAATCAATTAAATTTTTTATTTTACTAATTTCAAAGAGAGGGTTTTTGTACCTAAGAAAGAAATTTGTACCAAGATATCAAAATATTGCACAGCAAAGTTGCTTAACGAGGAGATACGTGGCATGCTAAACGCTATACAAAGGGAGGAGCCAGCTTTACATTCGTTCGTCTCTTGGTGTGAGGACGGTTTTGAATCTTTACACAGCATACCATCAGCTGTCCAGTCATTGCTCCAGTGTGTTTCTTCAACCTCTCCTGTTTGCTCGTATTGCCCACCTATAGATGATGTATTCGCAGTTTTTGAAGCAATATATCGAAAGGGTCAAGTAGGACAAAATGCATCAGCTTTGCTGGTGTTTCAACGGAAAGCTCTAGTTATTTTCAATACCCTCTCTGTTGTCAGATCGTCGAAGACCCCATCCCAGTCAAAAGAGCTCCTGGGGGAAGTAAAAAAAGAGGTCTACAGTCTTTTGAAAGAGCACAGCACAAACTTTATCCTGATCAAGAAAATTAATCTCAAGAGACCCCAAACGCTCCTTTTGAAATATTTCAAACACGCTTGAACAAGGTTTGTTTCTCTTACTTGATTACTGTTTATTCGGACAAATTGATATCTTTGGGTTGCTGAAAATCATTGTGGTTTTTCGGAGGATTAGAAAATTATTTGTCACAAGTTGAGTGTGAATGGACCAGTGCATATTCATCCATGCACAAAATTGCTGAATTTAGAACGTTTTTCTTACATAATTACATTTGCTTGCATTTTCCCAGGAGTTTTTTATTTGCTATTATTGTAGGCCGGATTGATAAAAATTTGCCCGGGACAAAAAATTAGCCAGTCCGCCCCTGAAAATAGACATCTTTTTATTTATTTTTTTTGCACATAGGAGCAAGCAAATGAAACGCAACATATAGACCAAATACAGAGGTGGAGGGTCAGAAGTTATAACTTCCTGATCGCAAAAAAGTCGGCATAAAATCAACTGCAGTGCTTTTAAAGAGAAGACCCTTTCTTGCGTATTTGAATGACGAAAGTTACAATATTATGACGACAACATTTTACTAATAGAAATGAGAGAAATGAAAAAGAACTTCGCCTTACCGTTATCCACACCCAATGAGTTGAAAAACTGTAGCGCTTAGTAATGTTGATGGAATTTTTACGAATAAAGCGGAGTTTGAAATCCTTATCATTAATCCACAAAAAAGACTGGATCGAGCAACCTCTATTAGGCGCCATTACAAAGGCCACCCAAAAGTCAAAGGTCAAGCACATTTCATGGGAAATCCAAATCTGTTAGGGACAGCGATGGCTAATCATGGAACACAGCGTTGCGCTTTTGGTTTTAATAAGAGAAGAAAGCTGAAAATAGACGCCGAATTATTCAGAAGTGATGGCGATGGAAGTTCAGATGAAAAATTCAAAATAAATAACAAATTGCCAAGAACTTTTCACTCGTAAGTTATCATTTCAGTTTGTGTATTTTAGGCCCGTTTCATTTGGCAAAGGTCGAGCGGAATTTGTCTCTTTGTTTCATTATATTCCACAATGTATGCAAACTTTGACTTCCAATAAATTTTATATTAGTGATGTTTTTTATTTCTCAGGTTTCAAATTGATTATGGTAAAATACAGAGATGTACAATGAATGGGCCGCGAGGAGTGGATTCATAGCAAGAATTCCAGAATTTGCTCCGACCACTTCAAGGAAGAAATGATTGACCGATCAGCCAATAATTTATGCAGAACATTTAAAACAGGTGAATCTTGAAATTGATTTTACTTAGATATTTTCTAGCACTTTTCATTTTTTCATTTTCATTTCAAAAATCTTTACACACGAATTCCTAGTCAGTTATCAAACAAAAAAATAAACTACTTTTATTACAATTACTTCTTTAATATATATAAAATAAAGATGTTGCTGTTCTACCTAGGGATCGTGTTTTGTTTAGGGAATTTATCAACTTTGCAAGAATCCTTTCAAGTTTCTTTTAAACATGGACATTGTGGGGCTCATTCTGATGTTTCTTGGAATCTCATTCCATGTTTTAGCCCAGAGTGAAAGAAACTTCCCTTTGAGAATTCCAAATTTTGCCTTGGGATGTCAATATCAAGCTGATTCCTTGTCGAATTCCTCAATATCTCTGATCTAGTAATAAATTTACCTTTTAGGCTGTCAGGGCAAAGACCATTCATCATTTTGTACGTCATTATGGCCCTGTCATATTTAATTAGATTCGAAACTGAAAGCCATTTACAGATCCACCCGTCCTCAAATTTAGCACTTTCAATTAATGTTTGAGCCCTGTCTTGAAGGCGCTGAAGATGTTCAAGTTTTGTAGCGGACAGACTTTAATTCATCACCCTATCTTAGATGGCTCTCGAAAAGTGCCCTTTAAACCCGGTCCAATTTCGACTGTGGGAGTATGTTTTTAAGTTTCCTCAACGAAGAAAGACCACGCTTAAGTTTACACTTAAGCCTCTTGTACTGCTTCTTCCAAGATAGGTTTTCATCGATAGTGACCCCGAGATATTTTACTTCATGGGCTCGTTGGATTTTTTCTCCATTTATTTCAACGTTTATCTCCCCATGGATACGGTTAATTCGTCTTTTATGACCAATTACCATATATTCAGTTTTATTGGTGTTCAGACTAAGCTTATTTTGCCGCATCCACTCTGCAATGTTCTTACCCTTAGTTTTTAAGTCATTGCACAGTTCCTCAATGTCTTTTGCAGAGCATGTCATGCTAGTGTTGTCTGCATACATTTTTGTTGAGCTTTTCTCTAAGCATCGCTCAAAATCATTTACGTATAGGATGAAAAGGAGGGCCCAAGGCACGACACTGTCTATTATTATCGTGGTTCGGTCGTGTCACTGGGGAGGATAGTGGGCTTAGCTCCTTAAAAAGCATCGAATTGGTTGGAAAATTTCGGAAACCTCAGTAGTTTGTCGGATTTTCAAAAATAATTTTACCTTATGCTTACGCCACCCCTCCCTAAAAAAGATTTTTCTTCACAAACAATTTTTTTTCACTTTTTCTGCGTCCTTGCTGACGTTTATAAATGAATCAGAAAAGTTCAAAAAAATTATATGAAAAAACAACACTTTGCAAGGGGGCAAAAATTTAAACATCTTTTTCTCTGAATTTGGAAGAAGTGGAATAACGCAAGCTAGAAAATTCAAAAAGTGGAGTAGACTTTTATGGGTATTCAATATTTTAAATCTAAAATTTACTGATACGAGATGTGCCTGGAGGTTTAACAAATAAAATCATTTTTGGTATCTCACCACAAAACATGGTGGCAAAAAAACTTTGTTCTTCGATATGTTGTAGTTCACTTGGATCTAGCAGCCATACACCTTCATCCTTCCTTGCCCTTAAAGACAGAGGAGGCCTATTTAAGTATCAGTCAGTCTCGTTCTCTCTTTATAAATACCCCTTCTATTCCAGTGGTCATGGCAAATGATGCCACCTCAGTATGGTTGTACCCAGCCACCACTAATAGCAATGTCAAAGATTTCTACACAAAATCCTACCTATTCCTTGTGCTTATAGAGAGAATGAAACCCCTGCTATCCCAGTGGAAGTTCGGAAAAAGAATCCACAATAAAATTCAAATTGTCCAGAACTTTTTATTCGTAAGTTATCATTTCGGTTGGGTAATTTAGGCCCGTTTCATTTGGCAAAGGTCGAGCGGAATTTGTCACTTTGTCTCATTATATTCACCAACCTATCCAAAGTTTGACTTCCAAAAAATTCTATATTAGTGATGTTTTTTATTTCTCAGGTTTCTAATTGATTATGGTAAAATACAGAGATGTACAATGAATGCGCCGCGAGAACTAGATTCATAGCAAGAATTTCAGAATTTGCTCTGACCACTTCAAGGAAGAAATCATTGACCGAGCAGCAAATAATTTAGAGTTGAAATTCAATGCTGTACCAACGATGTTCAAAATTTTGCAGGACATTTAAAACAGGTGAATCTTGAATTTTATTTTACTTTGATACTTTGTAACACTTCACTATCTATTAAAATCGTGGTTCGCTCGTCTGGCTGGGGAGGACAGTGGGCTTAGCCCCTTAAAAAGCATCAAACTGGTTGGAACATTTTGGAAACCTTAGTAGTTTGTTGGATTTTCAAAGAAAATTTTACCTTATGCTTAAGCCACCCCTCCCTAAAAAGAATTTACGCAAACAATTTTTTTCACTTTTTCTGCGCCCTTGCTGACGTTTATAAATGAATCAAAAAAGTTCAAAAAAATTTATATAAAAAAACAACACTTTGCATGAGGGCAAAAATTTGAACATCTTTTTCTCTGAATTTGGAAGAAGTGGAATAACGCAAGCTAGAAAATTCAAAAAGTGGAGTAGACTTTTATGGGTATTCAATATTTTAAATCTAAAATTTACTGAAACGAGATGTGCCTAGAGGTTTAACAAATAAAATCATTTTTGGAACCTCACCACAAAACATGGTGGCAAAAAAACTTTGTTCTTTGACATGTTGTAGTTCACTTGGATCTAGCAGCCATACCCCTTCATCTTTTCTTGCCCTGAAAGACAGAGGAGGCCTAATTAAGTATCAGTGAGCCTCATTGTCTCTTTATAAATACCCCTTCTATCCCAGTGGTCATAGCAAAAGATGCCACCTTAGTATGGTTTCACCCAGCCACAAGAAATAACTATATTGGAAGTTTCAACACAAAATCCTACCAATTCCTTGTGCTTATAGAGAGAAGAAAACCCCTTCTATCCTAGTACCCATGGCAGTTGATGCCACCTAGGAAGTTGTACCCAGCCATCATAACTAAGTAGGTAAGCATACGAGGTTATCAACTCAGCTGGCACTGCGCAGCAGGGTGATATGCAGGAGGAGGAGTTTGCGTAGGAGGTCACTGTGTAGGAGGATGGCATGTAGGATGAGGAGGTGCTTTCTGAGATTTAAGGTGTTTAGCGCATGCGCAGTAGGTCCTATGGTGATGCCGAAACCAGAATTGTTATCAGTGTATGTTATTACCTATATGTACCAAGTTTCAAATCGATTAGAGCAAGTTGAGTTTTTCGCATGCGCAATAGGTCCTTTGGTGATGCCGATACCAGAACTTGCATCAGGGTATTTGATTACCTATATGTTTAGTAAAAGCGTTGTTGTTTTTTTTACTAACTAATTTGTGTGTTAGTTTGTATGTATATAACTTCTCACCTAGGTGTGTGCAGAAGCGAAGGGTTGAGACGACTTGTTTTTCTCTGTACCAGAACTCGATTAATCACTTTTACTATTTACTATAATAAAACAGCTCATTATAGGGGATTAACTAAAACAATGCGAAAAGAAAAGCTAGGATAAAAAGCGAATGTAAATACAATAGGAATATTAGCTGTTGTGCGTAAGTGAAAATATGTGGCTGAGTATATGGCTGATTAAGTGCAAATAAAATGTCGTATTATAAGTTCACTATAAGGGCCCCCCCTCTAGAATGTAAGAGGAGCGAAACAGTCGATATAAGTTTGAATATGGGGACTTCAGAAACCAAAGCGATCTGGAAAATGAACTTTGCGCCCTGAACGTGTCGTGCATTGGTGACTAGAAAAAACTGGTGTGTTGTCTATCACTGGGAAGAATTGGTTTTCTGTTGATATGTAAGAGTCACAATCAGAATCCAAGTGGGCCACTTTGAGGCGATCAATGCTGATTGTTTTATGTGTGCCAGCAATCTCTAGAACGAAATGCTTGTCTTGACGTTGAAGCACCTTGTAAGGCCCACCGTATGGTGGCTGAAGTGGCTTGCGAATGGCATCATGACGCACAAAGACAAATTTACAAGTTGCTAAGGCTGACGGAAGATGAGACTTGGTATCCTGTTTGCGAGGTGGTGTAGGCCGAAGACTTTGCATAGTAGATTGAAGACGTTGTGCATAAATTGTAGGGTCCAAAACATATGACTCTGGAGAAGAGGTAAAGAAATCACCAGGAAGACGTAGGTTACAACCATACACCAGTTGTGCAGGAGTGCAGTCAAGATCTGGTTACAGAAGTGTCCGGAGGCTGAGAAGAATTAGTGGCAGACTTTCACACCAACGTGATGGATCAGAAGATGCCTTGATTGAGCTCTTGAGTTGACGATGGAGGTGTTCAACCATGCCATTTGCGCAAGGATGATAGGCTGTTGTGTGGATCCGCTTAATTCCAAGAATCGACGTCAGTGACGCAAAAAGAGCAGATTCGAACTTAGTAGAGAAAGTGCCAATGGGGTGAAGCAGTGTGGCGAGTAACTTTCGACTTTTGGCACGGTACACAGGATCGAGTCCAGTTGCGAATATCCTTATTTATGCCTGGCCAAACATATCGCTGAGTGATAAGATGTTGTGTAGCTCGAATTCCAGGGTGGGACATGGAATGCAACTGGTCGAAAATGAGGCGACGATAACACAAAGGAATATATAGTCGTGGGTGGCCAGTTGAGATGTCACAGAGAATGGTGACTGTTGATTATTGTGGAGGAAATTCCTTGAGGCGTAGTGAAGAAAACCGTACAAGAGACAAATCAGGGTCGTTTTGTTGAGCTTTGGCAAGAAGTACAAAATCAAGTGGTTAGGAAGTTTGAAGAATGTTTCTATCTGTTCTAGATAGGGTGTCAGCAACAACATTTGCACTGCCATGTATATGACGAATATCTGAAGTGAACTGGGAAATGTAATCCAAGTGTCTAGTCTCGCGAGGAGAATAACGGTCAGGTGTAGCAGATAAAGCGTGGGTAAGCGGTTTGTGGTCTGTTAACACGTAGAAACGGCGGCCTTCCAAATTGTGGCGAAAATGACGGATGGACAGATAAACAGCCAATAGTTCACGACCAAAAGTACTATACTTGATTTCTGCCGGCTGTAGACGTTTGGAGAAAAAGGCAATTGGTTTCCAGATGCCGTCAATGTGTTGTTGAAGAACACCACCAACTGCAGAATTTGACGCATCAACCATTAAGCAGTATGGAGCAGTTGAAGAGGGGTGTACCAAAAGCGTAGCATTAGCTAAGACTGTTTTAATTGCTGTAAAAGCAGATGCAGCATCACCTTTGAGAGGAAAATGGTCGTGATTACTGTTTTTGGGAGACAGGAGGTCTGTGAGTGGCTGTAGAATCGTGGCACACTGAGGAATGAAGCGTCGGTAAAAGTTGATAAAACCAAGGAATTCTCGGAGTTTACGAAGAGAAGTTGGAGGTAGAAAATCTTTGATGGCTTTGATTTTGTCAGGCAAAGGATAAATACCACCAGCAGAGATTTTGTGTCCCAGGAAGTCGATGGAAAGAGCGCCGAAAACACATATGGCAGGATTTATGACTATACCATATTCGGAAAGGCGTGTGAAAACAAGTTCTAAATGGTGTAAATGTTCTGATTCAGAAAAGCTGGCGATGAGTAGGTCATCAATGGATGCGTAGAAAAAATCAAATCCGCGAAGTACTTCATCCATGAACCGTTGAAATGTTTGTGCGGCGTTGCGAAGACCAAAAGGCATTCTGACAAACTCAAACAATCCAAAAGGGGTACTGATGGCAGTCTTGGGCACATCATCGGGATCCACTGGAATTTGATGGTAGGCACGGACGAGATCAATCTTTGAAAATATAGTTGCACCATGTAGCGTTGCAGAGAAATCCTGAATATATGGGATTGGGTATCGATCTGGTACTTTTACTTTGTTGAGGGCTCTGTAATCACCGCAAGGATGCCAGTCGCCAGTTGTAGGTTTAGGGACCATGTGGAGTGGAGACGACCAACTACTTTCCGAAGGACGAATGATGCCCAACTGTAGCATGTTGTCAAACTCGGCTTTGGCGACAGCTAAACGATCTGGTGCGAGGCGTCGTGGACGGCAGTAAACAGGTGGACCGTTGGTTCGAATATGATGGGTAACAGTGTTTGACAGCAGATTCTTTATAACATAGACGGGCCAGTGCAGGGAACTTCTTGAGAAGGGCTTGGTATGGAGAAGTTGTGTCTGGAAGAGCAAACATTGGCCTTGGTGAAGGGTGTGTTGATTTGATACCATTTACAAGGTAGTTGTCGTATCAATTAATTTACGTTGGCGCACATCCACTTTCAAGCCAAAGTGGGCAAGAAAATCAGCACCAATAATAGCAATAGGGACGTCAGCAATAAGAAAAATCCATTGAAAATTACGGCGAAGTCCTAAATCCAGAGCCAAGGATTTTTCACCATATGTTGAGATTGGAGATTTGTTGACAGCTTGTAGGGTGATAGAAAAGGGTGCTGCTTTTCAAAGCGTGAAGGAGGAAGAGCACTTACGTCAGCGCCTGTGTCGACAAGAAAACGTGTGCCAGTAGGACGGTCTGTGACATAGAATAGGCGACTTTGGTGTAGGGTGCCAGGAAGACTTGTCGCCTCTAGCCGCTGGCGGGGAAGTTTTCCTGCTGCTGAGATGCAGAAGGCTTGAATGTGAAGGAGCATGGTGGATTGCATTTGCGGGCAGCAGAACCAAAACGCCAGTGATACCAACATTGAGAACTTGCGTGACGTTCAGTGCTTGAATTTCGACGATATGGAGAGCGTGATGGAGTGGGACTGCGACCACGTGGACCAGAACGAGGTTGTGAAGTATAACGGTTGGCCAGATCTTGTACTTGTGCAGATAAGGTGCTTATTTGCTGACGGAGTTCGGCAACTTCACTTGGTGGTGTTGTGTTGGAGGCAGCAAAAGCAGCAACAGGGGGTGCAGGGGTAGCCACTGATTCGGGAGTAGAGGCTAAAATCAGCTGAGCGTTGATAGGCAGCCGATTTAAAAATATTTTTCGCAATAGGCTGTCTTCGAAACGATTGTCACCAAGAAGTTGTCGCATTTTGCGGAGAAGTTGCGAGGGCTTTCTATCACCAAGTTTCTCTGAAGTCAAAAGCTGGTGAAAACGTTTTTGCTCAGAAGCTGAAGTGCGCTTAAACAGTTCTGCTTTGAGTTGATCGTACGGCTCTGCTGTAGGAGGATCAGGTCGCGTACCTCTTGTGCAATTTCAGGTTGCAGTGAAGCCACCACGTAGGCATATTTGGTGACTTGAGATGTGATATTGCGTGTTAAAAATTGGGCTTCCACCTGTGCAAACCAGACAACGGGATCAGTCGGCCAAAACGCAGCGACTGGAGATAGCATGGCATTGGAGAAAGTAAGCGAACCTGTTGAGGTGCTGGCAGTTGGTGTTTCGTCATTCATTGTTAAGATTGAGCTTTATGAAAAATATGGCCTATCAAATAGCGAGGAATTTGACAAGGGCAAATCAAATAAAAAGCGTGGTCACCAATTTAGTAAAAGCGTTGTTGTTTCTTTTACTAACTAATTTGTGTGTTAGTTTGTATATATATAACTTCTCACCTAGGTGTGTGCAGAAGCGAAGGGTTGAGACGACTTGTTTTTCTCTGTACCAGAACTCGATTAATCATTTTTACTATTTACAAAACTATAATAAAACAGCTCGTTATAGGGGATTAACTAAAACAAAGCGAATAGAAAAGCTAGGATAAAAAGCGAATGTAAATACAATAGGAATATAAGCTGTTGTGCGTAAGTGCAAATATGTGGCTGAGTATATGGCTGATTAAGTGCAAATGAAATGTCGTATTATGAGTTCACTATATATGTACCAAGTTTCAAATCGATCAGAGCAAGTTGAGTTTTGCGTATGCGCAGTAGATCCTTTGGTGATACAAAGCCCAAATTTGACACCAGAGTATCTGATACCTATATACCAAGTTTCAAGTCTATTAGAGCAAGTGCTTGGATAATTGAATGTGTAAGACAATCGATGGAATTCATATTTCGAAAGTCGAAATATATAGCGTTTGTGCCCCTACAAGAAATGATAATAATGGAGGAATCTGTTTGGTTTTGAATAATAGAATTCGAGCACGGATACACCGGCATAAAATACTGAAAGCACAAGCAATCCACCTCTTTTTGCGATTATCGTAGTTACAGAAAGACATACATACTTTTCAAAGTGAATTTAACAGGTGATTTACCTTTACTTTCAACACTATTTACTAGATGCTTATACTTGTTTTTAATTACTTATACTTGCTTTTTATTGTTAATAGTCCATTTTTTTCATTACTTGCAATAGCTTATATTCTTTTTAAGACATTTTTTTAAATTGTTGCCCACCTGAAGCGAAATAGGCTGGTCTCCACGACTCAGCACTTTGAAGTAAGGTATAGGGGTGCCGAGAGACGTCGCTTCAGGTACCTTAGGTTATTGTGTTTGTGTGCTTACTATCCTCCGTTCAGTGCTTAGTACCGACCTTAGTCTATTGACTTTCTACACATGAGTATTGAATAGTCATCTTGTTGAGGTCTAGAGATGTGCACGGGGAGCGTTTGTTACACTTACCAATAATTAGGAACAATTAGATTTTTTTATTTTTTCTTTTCATTTTATTCCCTGATTTATTTCCTGATTTATTCCAGATATATAACAATTTAATAAATACCACTACCTTAAATGTTTAGATTACAATGGAGTACCAAAGCGACGATATGGTAGCAAATAACGCTAGACAGATTCTTGCCATATTGACAGGACAGGTTCTAGCAGCCCTGCTGAACCCAACTTCCATCCATGAGATAAAGGAGATGGAGGAGGCTTTTCTTTGTGAAATTGTCTCCAAATGTAAGATTGATAATTTGCTCTTCGGTAATGTTGTGCCAGTGAATCCTCAGCAGGTGGAAGCCTCTCTGTATTCTTCCTCTTCATTAAACGCCATTTTGAGGATCTTGCTGCTGGAAGCGATTGGCTAGGAAGATCGCGATAGACACATTTTATAGTGAATTTTGTTAACCTTTGCATAAGCTCTGGACATAGCTCAACCTGTAGTCCAAGATCACAAATTAAACTGGCAAAATCTGGAGTTCTTTTCACTTTCTCCAACACTGAGACTTTTCCGTGACCAAAGAAGCCAATGATTGCATCTGCACCTGTGAACGCATCTATTTGCACAAGGACTGAAGCTAGCTCGGAGGAGCATATTTTTGACAATCAAACAGATGGCCTTTCTGACATAAGAGCATTTGGCCAAATTGCAACAACATCTGTATCACCACTGTCGAGTATGATCGGGTTTTGGCATTGGGAGAGCATTTTAGAGGCATGAAAGATGAGCCTTGTATCAGCTTCGTGATGATGGCATTCCAGTTCTGGACTCACAGTTGAGGTCTTCAAATTAACGCATTTTTCCCCCGGTTGTGTAATAAAACTCTTGGTTTTTATCCAACGCTAATGACTTGAACTCTTTCCACAGAAGTTCTTGAAGACGCAGTTTATATCCTTTGTTGACAAAGAAGCTATTGAAGGCTTGGGCTTTCGGTGCAGGTTGGTCGCATTTATTTGATGCTTAATATCTTTGATCGAATTTGAGACATCATAGCGGTCATTGATGAAATGAAATGTTGATGCGTGACGTGACAGCGCTATTCCAAACATCTCGGCAGCATAATCAGCCCAAGTGAAACTTTGACCATCTTCTTTGCCTCTATCCTCTTGAGTTGGAATTGCTAAGCGCCAGTAAAAACCCATGTTAAGAAGAGCTATCTGTGTGTCAGACAATACTTCTCGTTTGACGTCTTCAAGGATGAGCACATCCACTAACTTTGCTTTGACTGCTTTGCGTAGAGTACTTTTCACGTTGAAAAGAGCTAGTGGCACCTCTGTCAAGCGATAATGCATGATTCTTATGAGATCTAGTTGAGCCTTCTGTGCCAACATGACCAGTTCCACCATTGCTTTATTTTCCATCACACTGGCTTTCATTTGGTTTGCAGAGGCTGTGCCTTTTGGTTTCTCTTGTGTGATGAAATTGCAAAGACCATTTTTCTTTATTTTATATGTATTGGCCTTTCTGTTGAGAAAATGTTTTCTTTCAAAAAATATTTATTTGTTTTTCACCTTCTTTGTATGTACTTGAGAAATCTTCAACGAGACTTGGGGATGCAAGCAATCCAGATTCAAGTGATTGAAGGTCCTTGTGTTGCTCGTCAAAAGGATCACAATTTCACTCTTGTAAGCATCAGCTGAGATCTTGTACAAGCTTCTCGTCAAACCTTAAATTAACTGGAGAGTTTTCGGAATGGCTGCAAATGAAATGTCGTATTATGAGTTCACTATATATGTACCAAGTTTCAAATCGATCAGAGCAAGTTGAGTTTTGCGTATGCGCAGTAGATCCTTTGGTGATACAAAGCCCAAATTTGACACCAGAGTATCTGATACCTATATACCAAGTTTCAAGTCTATTAGAGCAAGTGCTTGGATAATTGAATGTGTAAGACAATCGATGGAATTCATATTTCGAAAGTCGAAATATATAGCGTTTGTGCCCCTACAAGAAATGATAATAATGGAGGAATCTGTTTGGTTTCGAATAATAGAATTCGAGCACGGATACACCGGCATAAAAGACTGAAAGCACAAGCAATCCACCTCTTTTTGCGATTATCGTAGTTACAGAAAGACATACATACTTTTCAAAGTGAATTTAACAGGTGATTTACCTTTACTTTCAACACTATTTACTAGATGCTTATACTTGTTTTAAATTACTTATACTTGCTTTTTATTGTTAATAGTCCATTTTTTTCATTACTTGCAATAGCTTAAGACATTTTTTTAAATTGTTGCCCACCTGAAGCGAAATAGGCTGGTCTCCACGACTCAGCACTTTGAAGTAAGGTATAGGGGTGCCGAGAGACGTCGCTTCAGGTACCTTAGGTTATTGTGTTTGTGTGCTTACTATTCTCCGTTCAGTGCTTAGTACCGACCTTAGTCTATTGACTTTGTACACATGAGTATTGAATAGTCATCTTGTTGAGGTCTAGAGATGTGCACGGGGAGCGTTTGTTACACTTACCAATAATTAGGAACAATTAGATTTTTTTATTTTTTCTTTTCATTTTATTCCCTGATTTATTTCCTGATTTATTCCAGATATATAACAATTTAATAAATACCACTACCTCAAATGTTTAGATTACAATGGAGTACCAAAGCGACGATATGGTAGGAAATAACGCTAGAGAGATAAGATTGAGGAGGAGTGGGTATATCCTAAGGTCAATGAGATCAGTAAATCGGAGGATGCGGTGAGTACATTTTTACTTCAACATTTTTTTAATTTGAAACTTTCAATTTTTACAACCATCATTTCTTCAAGTGATGCAACAACATTAGTGGTTGGATTGGGTAATTTTTAGATACAGGTTGTGATGTTAGGGTGTTTTATTTCAGGGAACTAACAAACATGTTCCCCGAAGCGGCAACAACATCCGATGATACAGACATTGAGGAGGAGCACAGCAGGGAGGAGACGAATGCGAGCGGAGGAGGAGGAGGAGACGAATGCGAGCGGCAACCCTCCTAGGAACACTGAGGATGGAGGTGGAGGAGCGGTCACAACAAGCGCAATCACCGGAATCAACGCCACCCCCCACATCACCAGAATCAACGCCGCGCCATTAAACGAAAGTCATTAATCATATTTGCTAAGTAATAACTCAATATAACACTTGTCTTCAAATTTATGCGATATATCTTCCAATGTTTCCCAATCAAAAATTTGTAAAGTTAATTTGTATGTGTGTAAATTTGTAATGTCTTTTTCTCAGATGTTATTACTGTGTGTGTTGGTGGGTTCACCTTCCTAACTACCCTGTCATTCTCGAGAATTGCCAAGTCTAATAATGGAACACTGTTTTTACTGAATAAAAGATCAGTAAAATATTTTGCAATGACACTTTTATTTATTTCTTTCTTTGGAAATAAAATGCATCCAATCATACTACATTTTGCAACATTTGTTATAGAGTTTGGTAAATTCAAACTTCTTCTATTTAAAGTTAAACAAATTTTATTACTCATATTACTGGTCTTATCTTCACAGTAATCGAGGTCTCTCCAATATATTGCTTTGGTGAATAGAATGATGGTAGTTTTATAGGGCTGTCTTCATCATCCGTTAACTTGATTGAGATATGTTGAAATTGAAGGTTTTCTATTGGTGTAAATATGATGCTCTTCGGTTCAAAATATTTCACATATGTGTCAACTTGTGTATCATAAAATGCAAACTTTCGCAGAACTCTCTTCTTATCAAGACCTGCTAGGTAGTTATTTTCCAAAATGTCACATTTCACATTGATAGCTGATTCTGGAATAATGTTTATGCCATCCTTTATTCTTCGAGCACAATTAATTTTAGTATATTGCACCGATTGATTGTTTGTTTCCTTTTTATATAAATACAATGTCATGATTTGACTGGGAAAATATTATCGTGTAATTGGTATTTAGGAACTTTAATCACACCAAGATTAAGCTTCTTTTCAGGGGGTGGTGAATCTTCGCATTCGCTGTTGAAATTCGGACACACCAGGAATTGAGTGACAATTCTCTAATTAAAGACACTCTAATAAACACCTTGAAGACTGACAGAGTGCAGACATGGATAAAAAATAATAGTGGCGTCGAGAGACTGTGTAAATTTATTGTGGATGGGAGAACCCCTCATGACCGAGAAGAAATCAGACACTTGTGCAAACTCTTTCTGCTAATCTCCATCAGTAGTTCAATTGTTGTCACAATATTTAGCCATGTTGGTTTTATTTTACTTCAAAGATTTATGAAGTAAATAAAATCTGTCTCAGAAATGTTACTGTCTTTTTATGTGAAACCTCTATATCTACTGCGCATGCGCAAAACACCTGAAATCTCAAAACCTTTTTAATCTCAAAAACACCTCCTCATCCTACACAACTTCCCCCCTACACAGTGACCTCCTACGCATTCACCTCCTCCTGCAAATCACCCTGCTGCGCAGTGCCAGCTGAGTTGATATCCTCGTATATTCACCTACTTATAAAGCCATGTTAAAAATTGATACACAGAATCCTAACGATTCCTTGGGCTTAAAAAGAGACGGCAACCCCTTCTATCCAAGAGTCGATGTCAAATGATGCCACCTAGGAGTTGAACCCAGCCATCATATATAACCATGTTAAAAATTTATAAACAGAATCCTACCGATTCCTTGTGATTATAGAGAGACAGAAACCCCTTCTATACAAGTTCCCATCGCAAATGATGCCACCTAGAAAGTTGTACCCAGCCACAATATATAACCATGTTAAAAATTGATATACAAAATCCTACCGATTCCATTTGTTTATAAAGAGACCAAAACCCCTTCTACACAAGTTCCCATGGCAAATGATGCCACCTAGGAAGTTGTACCCAGCCACCCTATATAAACATGTTCAAAAATTTATGCACACAGATTTAGCGATTCCTTGTGGTTATAGAGAAAAGGAAACCCTTTGTAACCATGTGCCCATGGCAAATGATGCCACCTAGGAAGTTGTACCCAGCAATCACAAATAACCATGTTAAAAATTTATGCACAGAATCCTAGCGATTCCTTGTGCTTATAGAGAGACGGCAACCCCTTCTATCCAAGTGGCCATGGCAAATGATGCCACCTAGGAAGTTGTACCTAGCAACAACAAATAACAATGTTGAAACTTTATACCTAGAATCCTACCGATTCTTTGTGCTTATAGAGAGACGGAAACCCATGGCAAATGATGCCACCTAGGAAGTTGTACCCAGCCACCATATATAACCATGTTTAAAGTTATACACATAATCCTACCTATTCCTTGTGCTTAGAGAGAGACGGCAATCACATCATCGGAATTTCTTGCCATATTGACAGGACAGGTTCTAGCAGCCCTGCTGAACCCAACTTCCATCCATGAGATAAAGGAGATGGAGGAGGCTTTTCTTTGTGAAATTGTCTCCAAATGTAAGATTGATAATTTGCTCTTCGGTAATGTTGTGCCAGTGAATCCTCAGCAGGTGGAAGCCTCTCTGTATTCTTCCTCTTCATTAAACGCCATTTTGAGGATCTTGCTGCTGGAAGCGATTGGCTAGGAAGATCGCGATAGACACATTTTATGGTGAATTTTGTTAACCTTTGCATAAGCTCTGGACATAGCTCAACCTGTAGTCCAAGATCACAAATTAAACTGGCAAACTCTGGAGTTCTTTTCACTTTCTCCAACACTGAGACTTTTCCGTGACCAAAGAAGCCAATGATTGCATCTGCACCTGTGAAGGCATCTATTTGCACAAGGACTGAAGCTAGCTCTGAGGAGCATATTTTTGACAATCAAACAGATGGCCTTTCTGACATAAGAGCATTTGGCCAAATTGCAACAACATCTGTATCACCACTGTCGAGTATGATCGGGTTTTGGCATTGGGAGAGCATTTTAGAGGCATGAAAGATGAGCCTTGTATCAGCTTCGTGATGATGGCATTCCAGTTCTGGACTCACAGCTGAGGTCTTCAAATTAACGCATTTTTCCCCCGGTTGTGTAATAAAACTCTTGGTTTTTATCCAACGCTAATGACTTGAACTCTTTCCACAGAAGTTCTTGAAGACGCAGTTTATATCCTTTGTTGACAAAGAAGCTATTGAAGGCTTGGGCTTTCGGTGCAGGTTGGTCGCATTTATTTGATGCTTAATATCTTTGATCGAATTTGAGACATCATAGCGGTCATTGATGAAATGAAATGTTGATGCGTGACGTGACAGCGCTATTCCAAACATCTCGGCAGCATAATCAGCCCAAGTGAAACTTTGACCATCTTCTTTGCCTCTATCCTCTTGAGTTGGAATTGCTAAGCGCCAGTAAAAACCCATGTTAAGAAGAGCTATCTGTGTGTCAGACAATACTTCTCGTTTGACGTCTTCAAGGATGAGCACATCCACTAACTTTGCTTTGACTGCTTTGCGTAGAGTACTTTTCACGTTGAAAAGAGCTAGTGGCACCTCTGTCAAGCGATAATGCATGATTCTTATGAGATCTAATTGAGCCTTCTGTGCCAACATGACCAGTTCCACCATTGCTTTATTTTCCATCACACTGGCTTTCATTTGGTTTGCAGAGGCTGTGCCTTTTGGTTTCTCTTGTGTGATGAAATTGCAAAGACCATTTTTCTTTATTTTATATGTATTGGCCTTTCTGTTGAGAAAATGTTTTCTTTCAAAAAATATTTATTTGTTTTTCACCTTCTTTGTATGTACTTGAGAAATCTTCAACGAGACTTGGGGATGCAAGCAATCCAGATTCAAGTGATTGAAGGTCCTTGTGTTGCTCGTCAAAAGGATCACAATTTCACTCTTGTAAGCATCAGCTGAGATCTTGTACAAGCTTCTCGTCAAACCTTAAATTAACTGGAGAGTTTTCGGAATGGCTGCAATTCTTTCCTTTAATGCTCGCAGCAGCGTGGAGAGCCTGGCGTGTTGACTCTATCTTGCTAATCGTTTGTGTGTGTGTGTATAACATGCTCTCGTTTTTGGTAAACCCAACCCACCCGGATTGTCATCTCTATTCATTTATCAAAGGGCAATGCGCTGAATGGACGTCCACTGATTGATGGACAGAAAATTAATATCAAATTATCTACAAGTAAATAATTTAAATAACAACAAATGATTGATTACCTGGAAAAGAGACCTTTGTCTTGCAACATATACCAACAATATATCACTCAAAGCTGTAATAATGGGATCTTCGCAATCATCAGCAAAGTCTTTGGTGGATGGACTACGCAACCATGTACGAAAGCATCTCAGTTCTTCTTGGGGCTGTTTTTCTTCTGTGAGTCTATCTGAATGTGGTGGCCATTCTTGTATGGGCTGATTTCTGAACGTGTCTCGTAGGTGATGTGCGACACTATTGATTGAATGTTCTTTGTCGATTCCCCATGAGTTTATCGCTACCTCTATGTACGTCCCCCCGCTCTGGCTATCATACACAATAGTGCTTTCAATTTTCTGAAATCTGTTATGGAAGCCTAGCTCATCACCAAAGTTGTCTTCTAAAATCTTCTTTATATATGAAGTCCTTTCACATTCCGGATAATTAAAGTTATCAATAAGTTTGTTGTAATCGTTCATTAAGCCTTTTAATGTTCTTGGCTCCCTATCTTTTATTACACATTCCCTTAAATGCTCGACAAATAATTGGTTGACTTCCTCATTCCTAACATGCCGAACATGTAGTGTTCCTTCTTCTTGCCTACCATACTTAATGTGCTGATTCCAGCAACTCTTATGATACCTCACTTCGCGTGCAAAGGGGTCTTCCCACTCCCTAATGAAGTGGAGAAGCCTTTCTCGCACTATCTCATCTTTCAGAAAGATGGTTGCAGATTTTAACTTTATCCATGTACTTTTTTGCTCCAAGAGATGCAAATATGAGGTTTTCCTATCACGATGCTTCGAATCTTTTCCTCTCATGCAAAATATGCACAGGTTCTTATCATGCAAATTTCCTGTCTGAGACCGTCGATGAACAGAAGATATTTTTGCTGGAAATCGTGAATGCGGCGTGAAATCATTTGACTGTGTACTCTCGAGAAAACTGTCTTGTTGCTTTTTTCGTGGCAAGGCACTTTCAAGTCTTTTGGAATCTCCAAGCTTTAACCTGCATGTCTTGTGAATACAATTACCTTCAGGCACGCTTTCCCAATTTGTCTCATGTGTAAAGTCTCAAAGAATTTGTGTAAATTCTTCTGTATGGATCTAATCCCATCCATTTCTCAGCGACAGCTTTGAGATCCTTCCAAGCCCGGGTTTCTTTTCTCTCTTCCTTTGAATCGATACTGTGACATGAGATAATTCAAAAGATACTGTTTGAATGCTAAGATCAAAGCCAAAGTTTACAACCATGGTAGATTTTGAAAACTATCCATGGTAGATATCGATATTATGGAAACTGCCCTTTCAGTTTCCCGTATGTGACGTCATCGACCCTCAGTGACGTCATAGCATAAATTGCTGATATCATAAAAATATAATTTGATGTAAATCACTCGAAAGATTTCCTCACGAGGAATCAAATGGTGTATAGTTTGAATGAATTTGACTTACTTGTCTCGAGTTTTAGCCGTAAAAATGACTTTACAGGTGCATATTTTATGACGTCATTTTCGGCCAACGCCTATCGAAAATCAAAATGTACCCAGGCTCATTTTGAAGAGCGTACTTTGAAATACCAAAATCAACTTTTTAAACAAGTTCTCCTAAAAGTTGTCACGTGACCCTATATTTCGACCCAACTAAAGACTTAATGTAAAATGATATAAAAAATGTAAATAAAGTTTCGAAAAGTCTCCATAGAACTTAATAAATCCCAAAAATCTTGATAAATCTAGATATATTTGTGAAATTCCCTATATATTCCATTACTATCTATGAATCCCATAAATCTCTTCAAATCTCATAAATCCCTGAAAAATTCCAAGAGATTTATAAATCCATAAATAACAAAGGTTTTTAAAAAAAGCTTTATTGTTTTGCCAAAAAATGAGGGGGCCGTTGCCCCCCCGCGCCCCCCTCCTTCGTCGGAGGCCCTGATATATCATAGGTTAAACCTGATAATATAATGCTAACGGCCCTAGCGAATGTTGCTGGAGCTGTTGAACATCCATATGACATAAAAGCAATTCAAATAGGCCACCAGGGGTAATAAAAGCTGTTTTTTCTATCTTCTGAGGTCATACTTACATGTCAGTAACCACTGTGGAGATAAAGAGTACCAAAGAGCTTATTGTTATTTAGAGGGTCATGAAGGTCATCTCCTCTAGGCAAGGGGTGAGCATCTTGCTTGGTGACAAGGTTTAGCTTTCGGTAGTTAAGGCAATATCTATAGGACCCATCCTTTCTTTTTTAACGAGGACAACAGGAGACGCCAAAGGGCTAGTGGTTGTAATGTTTTGAATAAATTAACATATTATGACGTAACGGTACTTAGAGTTAGTTGTAGAGCACGAGGCCATGGAGTAAAACGTATTATATGTGAGCACACGATTAGGCCCTTTTTAACAACATAACATTTGGCGACGAGGATTAAAACAAAAAGCAGATAACGTGGAGGGAAAGCACATACCATTTCTGTTAAGTTTCAGAATTTAAGATGGCCACGGCAGCACGATTAGATTTATTACCGCTTCCACCGTTCGACCCTGTGTCGGACCCGACGTCCATAAACCAACGATGGCAGCAATGGAAACGCCGCTTCGAAACATATTTACTTGCCGTAAATATAACTGATGATGCTCAGAAACGTGCCTTACTATTGTACCAAGCAGGTGCCGCCACTCAAGAAGTTTTCGATTCCCTCCCAGTTGAGCAAGATGAAGCTACAGATTACAAGACAGCGTTGGCGAAACTTGACACTTACTTTGCCCCGCTGTGGCCTAAAGATTGCTGAAAAGAGAGACTTCTTACTTGGCGACTTTACTATTAGAGAACTGTAACCGAATAAATGAATAACAGAACACGAGTAAATAAGAATACGTAAGGACGGACTATTTACATAGGCAGGGGGTATACTAGTCCAACATTCCTCCCCGCCTTTATAAGATTTAATGTTCGACAACGTTAATACTGTCCCAGGGAATGCTCCCTTCTATTGTTCTCTGTCTCCGATTTCTCATCGGGTACCTTTCCCAGATCTTCACGGTCGTCTGCGTTAGTGTCCGATTCGTCTGAGCTACTAAAATCCTCGTCTATAAAAGTATCATTGGTTTTGTCCCGAATCTCTTGGGCCACAATGTTGCCTTCATTTTGTTGTTTGTCGTTATGTTGCGCATTCTCTGGTGTGTCCATAATCTTGGCGGGGTATAATCGATTATGATGAGCGACTTGCTTTTTCTTTGTCGAATCATTGCAAGCTTCTCTAAAATGGTCCAGGGGCCATTTCTTCGAGGAGCTAATTTCTGGGTTTCGCCAGTCTTGAAATACTTCTATGAAATTTCGATAGAATCCTGCAAGTCCTAGGAAACGCTTTAAGTCTTTCCTGGTTGTTGGGCGTTCAAAATCACGTATCGCATCGGTGAGACGTTTCTGTGGTTTGATACCAGCCATGGACAATTCGTATCCTAAAAATTCCACGCTTTCTTTCGCAAATGCACCTTTTGATTGCTTTAATGTGATGCCTGTGTTACGCAATCTGCTGAATACTGCTTCAATGGCCTTTGAATGCTCTTCGAAAATTCTGCTAAAAATGGCAATATCATCGATGTACCCCAACGTTCGCTCGGCGGGTAACCCTGAGAGACAAATGTTCATTAATCTTTGATATAATGCTCCTGCATTACATAAACCGTACGGCGTTACGTTGAAATCAAACTTTCCTCGATGAACAGAGAAAGAATTTTTTTCTTTGTCTTCTTCTTTCAACGGCATAGACCAATAGGCTGATACTGCATCAAGAGTTGTCCAGTAAACTACGCCAGCCATTTTATCAATAAAGTCCCTAATGTGAGGCAAAGGGTATGTGTCTTTTTTGGTCACATCATTTAACTTTCGGAAATCGCAAACAAAACGTGTTGTATTATCTTTTTTCTTAACCAAAATGATAGGACTATTTCAGGGTGATTCAGAAGGTCTTATTATGTCATTGTCCAGCATGTCGGTGATCTGGAAATTGATTTATGGTTCCCATGCGGTTGGTACACGGCGTGGTTTTTGATAAATGGGCATTGAGTCATCTGTAATGATTTTATGCTCTATGATTTTGTTCCTCTGAGGCTTTGTTGGATTCTGCGCAAATATGTCTTTGTAGTCAGAAATCAAGGACATTAATGTGGTTTTTTCTTCTTCGGAAAGTTGGGTACTGCAGTCAAACGAGGGATTATTTTTTACTGGGCCTTGTGTGATACTTCCCGTTGCGGCAGCGTGTAATGTTCCCACTGGTTTGCGTGCAGTTAAAATCATATCTTCAGCAGAAACATTCAACAGGCTGATCGTGAAACCACCCGCAGAATTTGGAATCACCCGTGTTCTTGATGCGTAGATACCCGTCATTCCTGCTATTGTTGCGGGGTCAAAATCTCCTTCTTAAAATGCCGTTTTGGTATCACATTTGACCTGGATAAATTTTTCGGAACGACCAGGAATTGTGGTTTTTTCAGCTACCCGAACACGTATGGGTGTTTTTATCCAGGCTGGGCCAAGCCTTACACGGTTATTTGCAAAATCAAATGTCACTTGACCAAATTTCTGCAAAAAGTCTCTGCCTAATAGTATGCTGACTGGCGAATGAGAATCGACAATTTGGAACTTCTGTAGAACTGGCTTCGTTAGGCCAAAAATATTCACGTTTAGAGTTACAAAACCGGTTATTTTCATGTTATTACCTGAGGCATCTGTAAGTGTTTCACTTGAAGCATTTATCTTTACTGCGAGTTTCAAATTTTCAAGAGTTTTCGAGTCAATAATTGATACAGCTGTTCCTGAGTCAAGCAAAACGTTGCTAAAAACTCCTTCCAATTTGGCTTTTAAAACGACGGTTGACGAACCAGTGGTATTGTCCTCTAAATTCAAAATGTCGGGGCCGTCTAGTCATTGGAAATTCGAGCAGTTCTTATCCCAAGCATCATGGCCACGCGCACCACAGGCTTGGCAAAATCTTGTTGGACATATTCGGAACAAATGTTCTGTGC